CATGCCAATTTTAGCATTGCCGCTAACTGCAGGTCTAGAATTCTGCACGACATCGAGTCAGGGCTCATGTTATGACCGAGTGAGAGCAAGAGAGGGACACTTTATGGCAGTAAAACAGAGGTACATGACGTTCCCCCTCCCTAAAATAAGTGCATGTCTGAGAGTGGTGAAAAGCTCAGTGTACACACTGCATACGGCTTCTGTAAAGCCCGGTTTCCTTCATAAAGCCCTTGGAGTTACTGTGGCACCCCTGAAGGTCTATTCAAGTCACTAAAGTGGCACCCCATTATGGGACTCCCTTGTTTCATCTAGGGTAACCACAGTGGGTGGCCATTGCTACTGACAACCCACGATGTCATATGATTAATGGGGAGTCATGCTGATAAGCTCTTGAGTATCACATTGGAGTCCTAAAGCAGCCTCACACCATCCAAGGACACTAGAAGTGTCACGAGCAATGCAGTATTTTATGTGACACTCAGAGATGGCCTGTAAAACAAGTTCACTTTTGTCCACAGTCACAAAATTGACTTAGTTTTACAATATGTTAAATAAAAATAAGTAAACCTTCCTTTGTTTAACATGTGCTCCTTGTAGAATCTGCAGATCTGATGTTGCATGATGGAACTATGAGACGTCTAGCGCATCTTACAAAAAAATAAAAAAATAAATAAAAATAAAAAAATGTATGTGTTGTCTAAATACAAAACCTAAAGTTAACTTTTATAATACAACAATAATAGCAGAGGTCCTAAAATAGAACCCTGTGGTATACCATAATTAATGGCACATAGATTCAATGACTGCATTTAGTTCTTAGTCTCAGATTGTTTACAACAGTTATCAGTCAATGGTGAGAATGAAAACCTGAGTGAAACTTTTTAAAAATATTAATAAGAACTACGTATTCTTGCAATCTAGTTACAACAACTTTTTCTAGGGGCCAAGTCATTTTCAACTGCTATTTAAAAAGTTTGCCGTGGCTTTTGATCCTCAGTGTTTAAAAGGACACTTTTGAGTGGCTGCACTTTAAAAGACTTCCTCTTTCCAGTGGTTCAGTGCCTCCTTCATGTTCTTGAAGCAAAAATGTCTTTCCTGTTCCTCATAGTTCTAAAAAAAAAATAAAAATAAAAAAATAAAACCAGCCAAAGGCTTGATTTGACTGCTCAGAATTTAATCTCTCATTTATAAACATCACAACAAAATGTTACTCACTTAAAAACAACCTAAGCCACAAAGTAATGTCAATAATACCAACAAAGCAAAATATTCAATGTCAGCACATCATGAATAAAAATCAGCTTCTGGTGGTGGAGAAACTGAATAAATTAAGTGTAAGTGTTGAGACTCTATGCAGGTTCTTGTTCACTGTTGTTGAGTTGTGCATATTCCAGAGCTGCCTGCTGAGAAAGACACAAACAAACTTCACAAAATAGCTTGCAGAGTTGTGTTCTAAGCAAAAATTTTAATTTTAATTACCTGGCTGTCTAGATTAATACAGAAATAAAACTGTGGACAATATAGGCTGCTTTAGTTTTTTTCCCCATAATTTGTAGGAAAGTATTTATTTATGCTTATGATAATTAAGCATGTTTCCCCCTAATGATAAACCTCATAATGAGGGAGAAAAAATAACAATACCTTTTAATGAGAAAAAAAGTCTGACTTTCATATTCATCACTACTATATGAAACAAATATAAAGTATTTCTTTATCATGGCATTTTTGTTGTACTGCTCTTAATTATGGTGATTCTACTTAAAAAAATTATTTTAGAGCAGTATTTTTTACTGTAATACAGTGATGATAATGAGAACTTTTCCTCTTTGGGTTTTGTATGACTTGACATTTTCCTGACAGTCTTCATAAGCCTGACCAAATCAGATACATCGTATAGAGATTTCTTCTGTGGCATCCATTTCTTCCACAAGAGGGCCTCCCTGTTGCAAAACTATTTGTACATACCTATATGTGGATTTGTGTGTCTGTGTGTCATCATTGTGCGTCACTTACGCCCTCAGCCTGTTCCGAAACTCCTACAAAGAACAAATGAACCACCGTCACAAAACCACCGCCACCGCAGTGGAAAATGTTTTTTAACTTTTGAATATTTAATAACTTCAGCTCAACTTCCTGAACCAACTCCATTCAACTCCCAAGGAAGAGGAGTGCGGTGCCCGCCTTAGGCTTATCGTGTTAGTGCCATGCTAATGTGCCTGTGTAAGTAATCTGTTTCCCTCCAGATGCAGCTATTGTTTGGCAATATGTGGGCATGCCAAAACCCATTTCAGCGTGACCTCTGCTATGTTTCAGCATTGTTTCACACGCATACCGCAATGATTAGCAAGAGGTCTTGCTATTAATCAACTAGGGAAAAGGGACTGTGGAGTGTTTATTTGTGCTGAGGAAACAATAGCCGAGTTTCTGTGTCGTTGGGCAGAGGAACATGAGGCTCCAGGGCCCATTGTGAAAACAGGAAGCTCTTTCCCACCAGCGCAGGAAACAGCCACCTGGCATCTCATGCATGATGAAAACACCGCATATTCATTAACAATGTCAGTTTGGACAATTTTACTGCCTGTTATGGTCATGCTCGAAGGGGAGGGTTGCGTGATTCAAAGATCTGAGCTCACCTGGTGTGGACACTTGGACTTCTGTGTGCTGGACACTGTATTCGGGCTCTATGCTTTGCGTCACAGGAACTTCTAAATATGGACACATTTTGAACTCATCAGCATTAAAACTCTAACCAACATTCTTTTACATCTTTTTGTTAAATAATTGTGAACAATTAAGAAAATGTGAACAAAGTTCTGACACAGCATTTCACACAGAACCAATACCAATGATTCAATAGAACAAATATTCAATATCCAGCTATAACTGACAGATTTTTCACAATGATGCCATCTGAGGGATTCATTGACTGTTGAAGATCTTTGAAACTCACTCTCTGCCACTCACCTCTGCTGGGATCCACTTCCTGTGGCTGAACCAGCTCAGAGTCTTCATCAGCAGGATTATCAGATTCTAGTAAAATATCAAGCAGAGGGTGTCATGTGATGATCTCACATCTCACTGGCATAATTCTGTTTAAAATCTGTACCTGAGCAAGATACATTTTCACTCCAGACATTCCTGCCCATCACACAGGGAGTTCCTGTGAGGCAGAAGCAAACAAGATATCAACAACAAACAAGATATGAGTTCAACATTTAGAGACTTTTTAATATGATTCAATATTCAGAATATCATTCAGTAATTTCCATAACCCTGAGGTGTCCATTTCAATGATGTCCTATAAAAGTCAGCTCTAGCCTGCACAAAATACACTCACTGGACATTCTAGCAATCCTAAAGACCTTGATTAGCTAGTTCAGATTTGGTTAACTAGGACTGGAGCTAAACTCTGCAGGACAGTGGCCCTCCATGAGCAGGATTAGACACCACTGCACAAAGATACCAGAAAGGGATATTATTAGTGCTGTCAATTGATAAAAAAAAAAAAAAAACTAATTAATGACACTTTTTTTTTTTCTGAAATTAATTGTAATTAACCACAATTAATCCCACTTAATGTTAAAGTTGTTAAATATATTTTTTTATAGCGCAATAATTTCACATGCAAACTTCAAATTAATGTAGAAACAACACAAAGACTGTATATTTTTAATATTCATTTAGTGGCATTTTTTTATGACTGAAGATGAGTATCAGTGACACCAATACTGCTACTGATGTCTCTATGAATGTTTTTTTTTCATCCTAATATTTAACCATTGACTATAGCCATTGAACATTACAGTGTAATTGAGAGCTATCAATTTGAACATTTATTTGACTTTAAAAAATAACAGCTTCTAATTTAAGTGAACCTAAAACAATCTTCACATAAACCCATTATAATAAATGTCATATTTAGCTACCTGTGCTCTTTAGTTAACAGGCAATAATGCAATTGAATTGGAAAAATGAATCACCTGCATTAACAAACTAATTTTGACAGCACTAGATATTATATAACAATCGGGGATTTCCCAAAAGCATTATTAGCTGACTATGGCCGCAAATTCCATTGAACTCTATTGGTAATGACAGAACTTGCGACCATAGGTTTGGGAAACACACCTCTGTATAGCGCTCTTTGCATGTAACAAACTCCACAGGAATTACATTTGTAATGCTAAACCAGAAGTTCATTCACCTAGAAAAAGTAGTCCTACTTAAGAAATTAGGATTTAGACAATTATACAGCTCAAATAATTCTACTTGTGTTACTGCATGCACAAATTTTAGTTACACATCAAATATGATTTTGTATGGAAATCATCACTACACCTAATTTGTATTGAAACAGTAACTTTAATCTAAATGGATCAGACTTGACGTTGGTCTAATTAAAGATCAAAGTAACTTTTTTAGGATTTATTGAACACACAACAGCGTAAACAATAGCCAAATGCACTGTATTAATATTCATATGACAAGGATGAGGACATTTGTTACCATTGATAGCGGTGTTGTCTTCAATGTCGAGAGTAAGGCTTATTCTCATTGGGTCACCTGATTTGGGCCTTGAAGGTTTTCTGAGAAAGAAAGCATTTTCAAACAGAATGGGAAAAAACCTTCAAATGATGATATAAGACATAACAAATGATGTAGATGTTAAACAGAAACGAAGAGGCATCTTACACTGATAACTCAGTTGCTTGCTTTTTTCTGTGTGGATGGGACATTTTCTTAAAAAAGACTGTCAGGACTAAGACGATAGCCACCAAAAGCAAGATACAGAACACTCCAATAAGAGCTTTCTTCCACAGCGCTAAACTGACTATAAAAAACACACACACACAAGTTAGCAGAAAGGACACTTGAACATCTTCAAAAACTTATTCTGTAGACATTTTCACTTTTAGGCCAGAAACATACTTTACACAATTACAAGTTCTCAAAATTGTCGCAAGGTGAGCTTAGTGAGAATAGCATTAGTTTAAACTGTTTTCACCGTCAGTTACTCTTTCAGGTCAACTAACGTACTCGGTTACTAACGTAATCTCGGTTCCCTGAGATACGGGACCGAGTACTGTGTCTTGCTTAAGACGCATATGGGAAAAAGTGTTTTTTCTCCTGAACTGAAGCCTATTTCATTCACGCAGTGAAACTGCACGGCCATTGGCTCGTGCAGGGCTTTAAAAACGAACCAATGGTGCGGAAGCGGAGCTGCACGAGCCTATGGCGACGAAGCCTGCCAAAGCCCACCAGAATGGGCGGGGCATCTGGCTATATAAGCGGGCGCTCGCCACAAGATTCTCAGGTTTTCTTCGACTGAAGCGACGACTGAGTCGTGCAGCTACATAGCACTGCCAGCAACGCAGTACTCGTTCCCGTATCTCAGGGAACCGATGTTACGTTAGTAACCGAGTAAGTTCCCTTTCGATACTTCACTCGTACTGCGTCTTGCTTAAGACACATATGGGAACAGTCCAATCACGCCGTGCTAATGTAGTGGAACGACTAAAGGTATAACTTCCATAAGCAACCAATGCTTATAGAGAAGTCAACAATAACCCAAGGCTAAGCGGGCTGAGCTTTCTAGGTCACACCCGGCCTGGTTAATCGTTCCAGAGTATACCCGTAACTTCAACACCCAGGGGTCGAGAGCTAACAGGTGAACAATACCAGAGAACTTGGGCGCGGCACGGCCATGGGCTCTCTGTCATGTCTGTTTAGGCAGCGCGTGCCATTTCAAGCGGAAAGGATCCTGGCCTGTAAGGCCGGGACTTCCAGATTATAAAACCTCGCAAATGTGGAGTGCGAGGCCCAGCCGGCCGCCTCACAAATATCCGCAATGGACACACCACTGGACCATGCCCACGACGAGGCAATGCCTCTAGTCGAGTGGGCCCATACTCCAATGGGGCATTGGAGGCCCAAGGAAGAGTATGCTAGCGAGATGGCGTCTACTATCCATCTAGAGAGTCTTTGCTTTGTAACCGGAAACCCCTTGGTGCGGTTACCGAAGCTGACAAAGAGTTGTTCCGATCGCCTATAGGGAGCGGAACGCTCAATATAGATTCTCAACGCCCTGACGGGGCAGAGCAGAGATAGCTCTCTGTCCTCTTCAGTTGGAGGAAGCGCGGAGAGTGTAATGACCTGTGCTCTGAACGGAGTGGAGAGCACTTTAGGTATGTAACCGTGCCTCGGTTTCAGGATGACTTTAGACCTATTCGCTTTACTGATGCTTGTGCTAGATGCAGAGCAGTCTTTAACCATAGCGACCTAACGTTGGCGGCTTGTAGCGGCTCGAAAGCGGGGCCCTTCAGGGCCCTCAGCACAGTGGGCAGGTCCCATGAAAGGATGGTAGGGGGACGAGGCAGATTCAGTCTCCTTGCACCCTTCAGGAAGTGGATGACCGCGCTATTTCTGCCCACTGATTGGCCCTCAATAGGGACAAGAGAGGCCGCTATAGCCGCCCCATAGACTTTGAGTGTGGATGGCGAGCGACCCTTATCCAGCAGCTCTTGTAGAAAAGACAGCACCTCTGCTAATTCGGAAGTGAGAGGGTCTTTGCCGCGGTTTAAACACCAGACGGAGACCACTTTAAGGCATAGAGGTGTCTCATAGACGGAGCTCTAGCCTCCGAAATTGTGTTTAAGACTCGCTCTGGGAGGCACGAAGGCTCCCGTTGAGCGGCCAGAGGTGCAGGGCCCATAGGTCGGGCCGAGGATGCCATAATGTCCCGTTCGCTTGAGAGAGGAGATCCCGTCTCAGTGGAACAGGCCAAGGGGCCGCTATCAGTAGCTGAGTCAGCTCTGATAGCCACAGCTGGTTCATCCACAGGGGGGCTACCAGGAGAGCCCTGTGTTTGTGTTCCCTCACTCGCCTGATTACCTGTGGGATCAGAGCGATCGGGGGGAATGCATAAAGAAGGAGGTTGGGCCAATCGTGGGCCAATGTGTCCTTGGTCTTTGAGAAATAAATTTGGCAGTGAGAGTTGTCTTCTGAGGCGAAGAGGTCTACCTCTCACCCTGATATGCAGGCGTCCGTGACGCCACGCATGGAATGGAACCCGTGGTTTCAACCAGCGCTGAAGGGGGCACACACGCAGCATACCCAACTGTAACACTGGAGATGCTGCTGCCATGAGGCCCAGAATCCTTTGAAACGCTTTGAGCGGGCGAGCGGTACCGATCTTGAAGGAGGTTACCAGCCTCCGTATGGCCAGAGCTCGTTCTGGCGTGACTACAGCTTTCATTTGAGCTGAGTCGAAGATTGTTCCCAGGAACGAGATTCGTTGGCTGGGAAGCAATGAGCTTTTGGCAAAATCGACCCTGAGTCCCAGGCACTCCAGGTGGCTGAGGAGGAGGGCTCTGTGAGATATTAGTTCTGTCTTCGACTGGCCAGGACGAGCCAGTCGTCGAGGTAATTGACAATACGGACTCCCATCTGTCTCAGAGGGGAAAGAGCCGCATCCATGCACTTCGTAAAGGTGCGGGGGGCCAGGGACAGCCCGAAGGGAAGGACCGTATATTGATAAGCCACACCCTCGAAGGCGAATTTCAATAATGGCCTGTGACGAGGGGCTATCTGGATGTGAAAGTATGCATCCTTCAGGTTCAGGGAAAATAATCAGTCTCTCGAGTGAATTTGTGCGAGGATCTGATTAAGTGTAATCATCCTGAACAACCTCCTTATGAGGGCGCGATTCAGATGTCTGAGATCGAGGATGGGCCGGGGGCCACCATCTCTTTTGGCGACGAAGAAGTAATGGCTGTAAAGGCCTGACTCGCTCTGGGCTGGAGGAACCCTTTCCACGGCTCCTTTTCCCAGCAAATTCATCACCTCTGAGCGCAGGACATGGGCGTCCTTGCCTTGCACGGAGGTGTGGACCACGCCGCTGAAGCGTGGGGGTCTTCGAGCGAATTGGAGTGAACATCCTTGCTATATTATGCCTATAACCCATTCCGACACCCCGGGGATGGCCTGCCAGGCCTCGGCCCATGTGACGAGGGGTTGAATTAACTCGGGTGACTGGCCGCATGGGGGCAGAACATGTACGAGTGATGGAAGAGGAAGTTGAAAATGTTTGTGTTTTATTATATTTCCTGCTATCACAGTAGTCGGATGCTTGGGCGCATGAATGGGCCCATTGTTTGCACAAAACACATTTCCCTCTTTACCCGGAGCTGAACGGGGTGTCAAGAGGTGTAAGAGAGGCTGCCTGAGGGGCGGTCCGGCCGTGGCGAGATCTGACCCCATCCTCTTCCCATCTCGTGGATCAGGATGACGCCTGAGGCGCTGGGTCCAACGCAATCTTTGGTCGGGGTCCCTGGCGCTTAGGAGGAGGGTAGCGTCTGGCCGAGCGAGAGTGTCCCCGCGTCTGCTACGCTTTAGCGGGCTGAACAGCGGGTGTGGCAGGCGCTGGTTCCGCAGGCTGCTGAGTCGGCGCAGATTTTGGGCGAGCTGAGACGGCAGTGGAGCTGGAGCGCTTAGGCAGGAAATGTCGCATAGCCTGGGATGATTTCTGTGCCTCCGTGAAGCGTTCAGCAAACCCTTCGACCGCTGGGCCGAAAAGGCTCTTGGGGGAGACAGGAGCATTGAGGAAGGGGATCTTATCCGTGTCCTTCATCTCCGTCAGCATCAACCATAAATGGTGCTCGAGCACCACAAGGTTGGCCATCGATCTCCCAATCGCCTGGGCGGTGGTCTTGGTGGCGCGTAGAGCCAGGTCCGTCGCGCTCCTCAGATCCCTGAGGGTAATGGGGTCCAGGCCAGACTCGGAGGATGCGAGGATTTTGGCCTGGAAGACCTGAAGGACCGCCATAGAATGAAGCACCGTGGCCGCCTGTCCAGCTGAGGTGTAGGCGCGTCCAGCGAGAGCTGAAGTAGTCCTACACGGCTTAGACGGGTGAGCGGCCTTCACTCTCCAGCCGATGGCCGTGGGCAGGCAGAGATGCGCGGCCACTGACTCATCTAGGGGAGGCGGCTTATCGTACCCCTTTCCTTCAGCGCCGTCGATGGAGGTGAGGGCGGATGAAGAGGCAGTACGGAGGCGGGCGGAGTATGGAGTGCGCCATGATCTGGTGAGCTCGTCGTTGACCTCTGGGAAGAACGGAGAGGTACGCTGACGAGGGGCCTGTCGGCGCCCCGGCAGGAACCATTCATCCAGATGACTGCGAGAGGGCTCCTCTGGAGGGGACCACTCTAAACCCAGCTCTTCAACCGCCATGGAGAGGATACGGAGTAGCTCGGTATCCGTCCCGTTTTTGGTGGCACTGGGCACGGATGATGGCGAGGGGGTGGGGTCATTCTCCGAGCCCAACAGCTCCTCTGCATCCGATGCTGCCAGTGACATGCTGTCATCGAGCAGCTCGTCTCCACTTCCCCCGAATGAGATCAGGTCATTCGTATCAGCAGAGGGACGCTGATCAGTCCGGGAGAAAAGGACGGGTGAACACTCTGTCTGCGGCGAGAGCGAGGCACGCGGGATCTGGGCCGGCGTGAGCTCGCTCGTGGCCGATCGCTCGACCCCTCTGCCCCGCTGTTTTTTTCCTCACAGGTCCCTGGGGGGTGCGGAGGTGCGGAGTCGCTCTCTGAAAAGAAAGCGATCCGTGAGCGGAGAGAGGCGAGACTAAAACTCTCACAATGAGAGAAAATAGCTCCCAAGCAGGAAATGCACTCCGTGTGGCCGTCATCGGCGTGCAGGGGAGACCCGCACGAGCCGCAATAACGGCGCGGCATTTGCAACAACGCTGCTGCTCTTTTAGAAGCTTTTTGAAGTCGCCGGATGGCGGCAGGGAACCGGACCGGAACTGCTGCGTCGCTGGAGAAGCGGAGAAGCAGGTCAGCCGAGCTGAGAGGTCCTCATTCCAGCTGCGAAGGCATGTCAACAGCGAGCGGCTTCGGATCTGCTTGAGACGTAGAGTCGTCGCTGAAGGAGAAGAAATCTGAGAATCCTGTGGCGAGTGCCCGCTTATATAGCCAGATGCCCCACCCATTCTGGCGGGCTTCGTCGCCATAGGCTCGTGCAGCTCCACTGCCGCGCCATTGGTTAGTTTTTAAAGCCCTGCACGAACCAATGGCTGTGCAGTTTTTCTGCGTGATCGTGGCCGATCGCTCGACCCCTCTGCCCCGCTGTTTTTTTCCTCACAGGTCCCTGGGGGGTGCGGAGGTGCGGAGTCGCTCTCTGAAAAGAAAGCGATCCGTGAGCGGAGAGAGGCGAGACTAAAACTCTCACAATGAGAGAAAATAGCTCCCAAGCAGGAAATGCACTCCGTGTGGCCGTCATCGGCGTGCAGGGGAGACCCGCACGAGCCGCAATAACGGCGCGGCATTTGCAACAACGCTGCTGCTCTTTTAGAAGCTTTTTGAAGTCGCCGGATGGCGGCAGGGAACCGGACCGGAACTGCTGCGTCGCTGGAGAAGCGGAGAAGCAGGTCAGCCGAGCTGAGAGGTCCTCATTCCAGCTGCGAAGGCATGTCAACAGCGAGCGGCTTCGGATCTGCTTGAGACGTAGAGTCGTCGCTGAAGGAGAAGAAATCTGAGAATCCTGTGGCGAGTGCCCGCTTATATAGCCAGATGCCCCACCCATTCTGGCGGGCTTCGTCGCCATAGGCTCGTGCAGCTCCACTGCCGCGCCATTGGTTAGTTTTTAAAGCCCTGCACGAACCAATGGCTGTGCAGTTTTTCTGCGTGAATGAAATAGGCTTCAGTTCAGGAGAAAAAAGGCTTTTTCCCATATGCGTCTTAAGCAAGACGCAGTGCGAGTGAAGTATCGAAAGGGAACTGCATCTGTGTACTTGAACAGAGTAAGCATTGCATTTCAATAAAAGCTCTACTATGACTTTAGAGTGATCAAATGGTAAGCTGGTGTTTGAATTAAAAAACGTACCACCAATTCTGACTGGATAACTCTTTTTGGTTTCAGAGGCGTAATTGGACGCCTCACAGTAGTAGTCGCCTCTCTGGTCTCGTTCGATGACTTTGACGACATGTCTTCCTTCTAAGGATCTGACCTCTTGGATGGAGGAAAGGAGCATAACTCTGTTATGATACCAGGTGAAGGTGATGGGGTAAGTTCCTTGTTGTACACGGCAGATGAGGATAAGATCTGACCCCTCTGTGACTGTAACTTCCTTTGGCTCCAGGACTGGCCTGGAAACGGGTACTGATAGACAGAAAAGTTTAAATTTTGTTGTTATTTATGTAAGTATAATAATACAAGCCCATAAGTGTTCTGAAGTCACCTTTCAGTGAAAATCATGAGCTCTGTTGCAAAATCCGATTCACCATTTGACATCATTCAAACAAGTGTTTCAATGCAACACTCGCGAGAGCCTATAATGTTTGGAGTTAATGTCATGCCATGTTTAACGGAATGTAAACAGGAATGATATTCCAGTGACATTATCATTGAATAACAATAGCTTCTGTAACATAAAACTGTTGTATGACTTCAGAAGACTTGGGGCCAGTTTTACTAAACAGGGCAAATTAGCGCGAGAGCGCAATTCCAAAACAGCGCTGATGGGAGGGGAAATTTACTAACAATACGCTAATTAAAGAACACAGACATCTCATTTACATATCGATAAATGCAATATACCAAGCACAGCGCAAATTAGCGTAGTCACAATTAAAGAATAAATAAACGAAGAAGCCAGTTCATTGAAAAAAACGGAGGCCAAAAAATTAATTTTGATAGAGCTGGTATTGCGTGACTCCTAGTTGAGGGTTCCAAGTAATCTTTTATTTCCTGAAGCAAATTATATTTTTGGATAATGTGTCCTTCTGGCATTACAAATAAATTAATACATGTGGAAAAACCCTTCTCCCTTCTACCACGTGCTCTCTGTTCTCTGCAGTGCCTCCTCTTAGCAACAACAATTGCAGCCATTTCAAGCATAGTTTAAGACATGCTTTTTTTTTGGCGTTAAATAATGGCGCAAATGCCAGTAATTTGACGAGCGCAAACGTTAGTAAAATGCGTTGCGTGATTCATTTCCTCCCATAGTTCCTCCCATAACTTTTGCGTCTGAAAGGGAAACTCCTACAAATGCATATTCAATAAGGCCAGGCGCAAAAATAACTGTGTCCATGCCTTTTCAGCGCTAATTCTTCACTGCGCGTCTTTAGTAAGTCCTGACAGTACTATTTAACGCCAAAAAAACTGGCCCATGAAGTATAGCTATAGTTGTGGACCACTTTTGTGTGTGTTTTGATTCTTCCCTGGAAATAACATGAATAAATAATGACAGAATTATTTTTTTTTGTGAACTAACCATTTAAAAACTTCACAAAACTTGATGTTTTGACAATAGTCAGATTTCACATACATTCATGTTTTATTTACTGTTTGTTTCACTGATATTGATTAATTCATCATTTTTTGATGGTTCTTGAAAAGAGACTTGTTAAATTTGTTAAAAGCAAACAAAACAAGTACTGGCAATAAAGTGTGAATATCATGTCCTCTAGTATAAAACATAAGAACATCAATTAAATAAAGCTTGAGAGGCAGTGCATTGCATTGATTTTACCACAGATAAATGGTGATGTACAAAAGATGCAAAACTGTGACCAAAACACTTTAACACGTGCTTTTATAAACCATTCAGCACTTTCAACATGGCTTGTGTTTCACTAGACACTGGACCAGTTTACAATGTCAGAAAAGCCATACATATGGAGCTGGTTGTGTTAGTTTACAAATCATACACTGTGGTAAAAGTGTTTTGAGGTCATAACATAGTTTTGTGCAAGGAACGGCATGAAACAAGTCTTTATTAATCAATAATCTGCACCTGTAATTATAATTTGTGTGAAAAGGAATACAAGTTAGTGTTTTACTGCTATAGTTTTCATTTCAGCTGGAAAAAGCAGGGAATTGTATGTACAAGTATGTTTTTAGAGTTTTGCAAAAATGTAACTAGAGGCATGTTATTCCAAGGAGTCTGCTGCAAAAATGTATCATGACACACTTTGAATGGCTTGAAAAAATGTTCTCTGAAAGTAAAACTTTTGGTAAACTACAGTGAATGTTTCATGTAGCAGGCTTTGGTGTGCAGAACAGGAATACAATTAATGTCACACAAGTTTCAGTCATCAAAAATGGTATCGGACACAAAGGTCCATCAGTGATTAAAGCATATATCAGCATCTAAAAATAACAACATGCACTTCCAAATTATTCAAAAATAGCAGCAACACAAAGGTTTCAGTGTGAAGTATCAGGATGTGGTCCTCTTACCTATGACAGGTGCTCTAAGGGGCTCACTGGTCCTACTGAACGATGACCCACGGTTAAAAGCCTGACATGTGAAGGTGTAGATCTCTTCTGGAAAACTGATGGAGGTTATGTTAAAGATCGCCCTGTTGGCTGCCTCAACCACTGTCCTGTAAGCCACTGGAGCGCGGGTCTTCAGTAAGGTGTAGGTTATTGGAAGGGTTCCATTTTCAGCCTCACATGAAACCCTGAACGGCTTACCGACAATCACCGTATTAACAGCACGAAGGACTGGGGCAGAAACAGGCACTGGAAAAGAGCGGAGGAAGATGAGAAGCATGCTGAAAGCATGCACATAAGAAACCATACCAATTGAGATAAAAGTATTTGCAGCATTTTGCATGCTGTCGACTCTACATTCTTAAACATAAAGGTTCTTTATTGGCTGATGTGGTTCCATGAAGAACCTTTAACATCAAAGGAATCTTTCCATTCCACAAAAGGTTCTTTATAGTGGAAAAAGGTTCTTTAGTTTATTCAAATGTTCTTCACACTAAGAAAAAAGAAGAACTGTTCACTGAACAATTCTTTGGGGAACCCAACATGATTATGTTATTGCATCACCACACAAATCCCCTTATGGAACCATTATTTTTAATAATAATAAATAAGAGTGTAGTATACTGCAACCCTTGGGAGTGACTATATTGCTAGTTTATCAAACACCTTATGTTATTATTGTGTTATAACATAGCAATAACAAAAAATGCTATGTTATAGAAGTGAAAACGACAATATGGATAATATGCATGTCTCCTAATGACAGAGCTTTGACAAAAGCATAAACTCATCACCTTTAGCTTTTACATCATGTGGTGAGCTGGTCTTGTTAACTTCTTTAGCCATTGCCATACAGTAGTATTGCCCATTGGTGGCGGGGCTTGCAGTGTCTTCGTATTTTGCAACTGCTGAAATGCGTCGACCATCTTTCAGCAGAACATACTTTATGTCTGCTTTTCCGATCTTCACTGAGGAGATTACATTACTGCTGCAGGTCAGAGTGAAGCGGTCTCCTTCAAAAACCTGGTCTGGGCTCATTCTCAAAATCGGCTTCGAGAACAGTTCTGAAGAGGGAAGATGGAGCCATAAAAACTTTTTTAAATAAAACTTTTGTTACTTGATATATATATGTATATATATATATATATATACATACATACATACAGTATACATATATATATATTTAGAATATGTGTGTGTATACAGCACACTTCTTTAATCCAAAATAAAAGTTTTTGTTTGCATAATGTATGTATATGTGCTGTGTATATTCATTATGTATATATAAATACACACACATGCATGTATATATTTCAGAAAAATATGTTATGTTATACATTATTATTATAAACTTTTATTTTGTATGCGACTAATCACGATTAATCATTTGACAGCAGTAATATATATATATATATATATATATATACTTATTTTATTTCAACTATTCTATTACTATAGAAAAACTAACTGAATTAAAATTAATTACAACTATAACAATTTCAATATAACAATTTTATTAAAATAAAATTCTACTTTTTTTAATGCAATAATAATGACAAAAAGCATTGACTGAAATCATTTTCAAAATGTTAAGTAAAAATAAAAAACACATGGTTGGTAGGAATGTAATGATTCACTCAACTCACGATTCGATTCGATTCACGATTTTTATTTATTTTTTATTTTTTTACAAAATGAGATTTGACAAATTATAAATTAAATGTGTCCTTTTATTATTGCTTGGACAAAATGCTGCACATTTCTTTGTGAAATTGAAATATAACACTATAATAATATACTAATATAGCACTTGCATATTATTGCTCTTTTGTTGGTTTTGATTGCTTCTACTGTCCTCATTTGTAAGTCGCTTTAGATAAAAGCATCTGCTAAATGACAAAATTTAAATATAATGTAAATGTAAATAACAAAACTAAATCGAAATTTTAAAACAAGCCCCAAATTAAAATAAACAAGTAACACAAATAAAATAAATCTCTTCATATAAACAAACTAACTGCTGCATTTTAATCATGATCCAAACAAAGATGCTGTGTACATGCAACATGAGCAGTTTTTAATCTAAATTGCATTGTATAATTTCGAAATTTGAAGCAAAAACAGAATGGTCTGACTTCAGTTTTGTGAAACTATACATAAAAAATATCTGCATGAAACCGAAACGGCAGACGAGCTGAACGAGACACAGATTCACTCTCTGCCAGCAGGTGGCGCTTAAAGTGTTTCTTTGGTTTCCGCTGTTAACAAAGCAGCGCTGCACTTGTGAACTTTAATATGCATTATACAGAGGCAAGAGGAAAAGAAAAAATACCATCTAAACTTTTCTAAAGACGGTAAGATCCCCTCAGACATACATTCATATAAACTCCTACACCTAATTGAATAGCGATTTGTTTAGCATCTCAACCGATTTGAATTGTCACATATTTGAATCGATTTTCAGCCGGCTCGCAGTTAATTGTTACATCCCTAATGGTTGGTGATGTGTACAGCCTGAATGATGAACATTTGAATTGTATGGAAATCTGATGCACATTTCTCTTATAAAATCTTGATGGTTAGTT